AATCACCATTCAACTCTGCTTTTACGAGCTTAACCTTTTTAGATTGCACGTATAAATGGCATCATATAGTTTTTATTTACTTATATTTTGCTTAGCATAATGTCCTCAAGGTCCATGTTGTTGCAAGTGGCAGGATCGCCTCCTTTCTTACAGATGAATAATATATCATTGTGTATATATGTAAACTTCTGCATGTAGAGATAAGGGGATGCTTATAGACTGTGGGTGGGAATGTAAATTGGTATAGCCACTAGGGAAAGAATATGGATATCTCTCAAAAAAATTAAAAAGAGACCTACTAAAAAAAAAAAGTAGACCTACCATATGATCCAGCAATTCCACTTGTGGATATACACTCAAAGGAAACGAAAACAGAATGTGTTAGAGATGTCTGCACCTTCATGTTTATTACCCCATTATTCACAGTAGCCAGGACATGGAAATGACCCAAGAGCCTGTCAATGGTTGAACAGATAAGGAAGCTGTGGAATGTGTATACGCCAGGGATCTTGTTAAATGCAAATTCTGATTCATTAATTTCCTCTGGGAGCTGAGACTCTGTATTTCTAACAAGCTCCCAGGTGGCACAGATCTTGAATTGTACGTTGCAAACAAGAGACTAACTGGGATCCGAGTTCCCTCCAAGCTCAGGGATTCTACATCCCTGTTCGTTCTTTATTTTCCGAGCAGTTTTCTGTGATGGTGCCTGCACTCCTGAGCACATCGGCTCTAGCTGAAGAGAAGGATGTTGTGAAGACCTGCCATTCTGGATCTCTGCAGCGCACTGCGGAGTTTGATGTTAATATTTATGGCAGCCTCCTCCGCCAACCTGGTTACTTGCAGATCTGTGTGTGTGCATGGAAACACACACACACACAGTTACACACATACACATGAGCCCCGAGGCATGTGGATTTACCAAAAAGAAAAAGAAAAGAAAAATAGTAGTCAGTGACGTCCAGTTTGGTTCGAGACTGTGTCCCCTACTTAGGATGTCAGGACACCTCTGGAGCAGCACCAGCCATGAGGACATGCAACTCCTCCCCTCAGGAAATGATAAGGAACTCGAAGACCCTCCTAGTCTCCCTCCACCCCTTCTCTGCCTCTGCAATTGGTAGCATCTAAAATCCAATCTAGTCTCATTTTACCAGGTCTTAATAGCTTTGGGGACCCTAAGGAGCTTCTGTTAAAATGAAAATGTCTCAGCAAGAAAAAATTCTGTAATATTTGCCGGAGCTCACGTTATTGGATTCTTCTCCTGGAAGTCCAGAGGGCCCTTGCTTTTACAGATGGGGAGGCTGAGACCAAGAGAGGGAAGACCAGCCACACAGTGAATCCATCAACTGAACCCAGATTTCCAGCGAGGCCGTGGTTCTGATTCTCGGGGTCAGGCAGCCAGCCTTGGCTCATACTTTGAAAATCATCACAAAGTGGCTCTGAGTCATGCAGAGGTGGATTCAAATCTGGACATTTTAAAAAGAAATGCTTATTGAGAGTCAACCGTGTGGCAGGCATTGAGAATATAACTGTGGCAAGTCAGATACAGTCCTTACAGTATAGTGAGAATTAGTGGTTTGTTAATAATTAGTGTCGAATGTGATTACTGTTTATCAGATCCCATAATACAGATTTCACATAGATGTGATTCTCATAACAACTCTATGAGGTAGTTACTATTATTTGTTGTTGTTCAGTTGCTCAGTCGTGTCTGACTCTTTGTGACCCTGTGGACTGCAGCGCGCCAGGTTTCCCCATCCATCACTATCTCCCATTATTACTATGATCCTCATTTTACAGATGAGAAGATTGAAGGACAGGGATTTAATTGCTCAAAGTCACACATCTGATTAATAGCGGAGCAGGGACTTGAACCCATGGTGTCTGGGACCACGGCCCCTGCTCTTAATCACCACGTCACGAACTTATCCCCAGTACCACTCACTCTTCCCAACAACCTCATGCCAAAGAGGAGGGCAAGGTCTTATCTCTACTTTTCAGAGGAGGAAATAGAGGATCAGAGAGATTAAGTACCATTTGGAAAGTTGTGCAGCTCAGGATGGCTCGGGTTGACACCTCCTCTTCTCTTGGGTACCCCTCCTTCATATCTGAGTCAGAATTGCCAGAAGGAACCCCAAGAGGGCAATGATTAACCAGAAGTGAAGCTGCTCTGATGATGAGGTTTCAGGCAGTCCAGAGCGAGCAATTCTTTTTTTTTTTTTTCTCTCTTCTAACACCTTTGTTGACATGCATCTCACACACCGTAACATTCACCCATTTCAAGGGTAAGTTGAGTGGTTTTTAGCGTATTCACAGGGTTGTGCAAACATCACCACAATCTAATTTTAGAAGATTTTCAGCATCCCCAAAGAAACCCCGTACCCATTAGCCACGACTTGGAGCGAGCAGTGCTCAGCCTGAAGGGAGAAGCCGCTCCAGGAGTGGTTTTGCTGGCAGCGTGGCAGATAATTGGGAGTGTCCTGGGGGATGCTCCTCACACCAGACCTCCAAACAACTGCCTATTTCTTAGCCATTAGCGAGAGTTCCCCAGGGCACACGGAGTTCCACCCACCAGTCTTTAGATACAAGAGATAATTGCACGTATTTCTATAGATGGTGGGGACAGGGGCTGCCTGAATGTCTTGGAAAGCAGACCGTAGGAATGGGAGCGGGCTGACCATCTCCAAAGAGAGTAATAGGAGAAGAAGTGGTGGTTTTGGGGAGGGAAAGGGAAGGCTGGGTTATGTCCCCTACTTAGCAGCTGTGCTCCCACCCAGGCAGAGGGGTCTTTAAAAAAATGTGATTTGGAGTGTGTCCTTCTCTTGCTCCAAACTCTCCAATAGCTTCCCTTACTTTTTGGAACAAAATTCAGAGCCCTTAACAGTCTTAAAAGCCTCCCGGCCTCATCCCATGCTGTGCTCCCATTCATCCTCTCCTTCCAACCTAACACGCTGCTTTTTTTCTGTTCTTATTCAGTGCTTCCATTAAGTGTAAATAGAAAAAGGTACACCTTCTTGGGAGATGAATTAGAGAAAGGATTTTGTTCCTTCAGCCTGGTGTCTTTTTACAGTGCACGACCCAGGCCACCGAGCCTAGCAGTCCTGCCTTTAATACACCATGCCCAAAACAGACAAGATTTGGACATCTGGGAGGAGTGGAAAGAGCCTGGGCTCTGATGGCAGAAAGGGCAGGAATCCCAGCTCTGCCACTTGCCAGATGTGTAATCTGGGGAGTGACTCAATCGAAAGGATTGAATAGGTCCCACTCTGGGGGATGGAAAGTGCTGTGAGGATTAAATGAAATCATAAGTGTGCTGCGCTTGATCAATATCCCTCCCTTCCGCTGTGTGGCCCCAGAGTGTCTACCTCTATTAACGGAGAATCAATGCTGTTAGCAGAAGCATGCACATTTTTCTTTTTAAATTAAAAAAAAATTTTTTATTTGCTTTTTTTTCCCGCTACAAATGCTTCTCTCTGTTTTTACTATAATCAACCTGGAAGAAGTCTGCATGACAACAGTCTACTGATTTGTTCCCACCCCCTTCTACTCTTGCCTCTCCAACGCTTTCAGAAGTCACAACGTTATAACTAAATCTGGTCATGTCACTCTAAACCCCACTGCCTGTTTCAAACTCTTCCTCATCCTTCTGGTCTCAGACGGAAAGTCAGCAGCTAAGGAGGACCGCTCTATCACTTTCAAGTACAGTGCTGTTAGAATCCAGCTAATGGCCTGAGACAGCCACACCTGATGTCCCATGGCAGAAGATGGCCCATGGGCCCCAAGAAATTCACCAAGAATCCAAGGACGGTCTGGGCTGGTGATCTTGTTTTCACACCAGCCTGGAAAGTCATACATGCTTGCTAAGTTGCTTCAGTCGTGTCTGACTCTTTGCGACCCCATGGACTGTAGTCCGCCAGGCTCTTCTGACCATGGGATTCTCCAGGCGATAATACTGAAGTGGGTCGCCATGCCCTCATCCCGGGGATCTCCCCCACCCAGGATGTCTCCCGCATTGGCTGGCGGGTTCTCTACCACTAGCACCACCTACGAATCCCCATCTGGAGAGTCATGGGGAAATGTTAATTGCAGCCGAGGATGTGACTGATAAAAACTCCAATGGCTTCTGTCTCCTAGCCTAGTGTTCTGCTTTAGGCGCAATGGCTGGGCAGAAAGCATGGACCAAGGGAGCCATCAAGGCTGGAGCCCAAGTATGGGACAGAGAGAACAGGCTGTGTGGGCTAGCTGCTCAACAGCGTCACCATGTGGTGGTGAGAAGAGCAGCGGTCGCAGTAAATACACAGGAAGACGATGGGCTGTGGGGAACTTACTGCTCAACAGCGACACCATCTGGCAGTGGTAGGAACAACATCCCAACGAACAGATCTACTCTACGGACCGCCGCCTGACATTAGGAACCAAGACGCAGTCCCTTTGGACTAAGTAAACCCCAATTATTCTTGGGCAGTGTGGAATGAGGGGTGTCCTCAAAAAGGGACAGTGGGACTTTCTGCTCAGGAAAGCATGTAGGAACTCAAGAGGTTAATCAGAGAACTAAAAAGAGGTGATTATATCTTGGCCACACCGGGTACAGGCAATAAACGAATGAATGGACATAAAACAAGAAGAAACAACATGATCACCAGAATTCCAAAGAAAAAAAAAAAGATTGTTTTTGTTTTTGTTTTTTAATGTTGTGTGAAGTACAAAGAGAAATATTGTGATTACCATTGAAAGGCAATTCCTGGAGAAAATGTCCCTGGCAGCCTTATCCCTTGAAAGAAACAATTCCTAAAATACACACCACTCAGTTTTCCAAAGGACCAGGTTTCCATGTTTAGATCATTTCTGAATTTGAGTTCAGAGAAGTTTGCAAGAGTCTCTGAGTCCCGAGCTAGAGAGGGAAGCCTGGAGAGGGGGCAGCCTGGGCCCCAGGGGCATGTCAGGATCGGGTGCTGACAACCCTGCACCTCCTGATTGACAGCCCCCCAGCGCCCATGGGGTCTTCAGCTGTAGTGGACATCTGCACCGAACAGCAGGAAATCCTGGGGGAGAGATGAGAACGCCGTCATCCGCTGGAAGAGTACCCCTCGTTTGTGAGGGTGGGAATGCAGCGGTTTTTAGAAGAAAACTTTGGGAGCTTGCCTGCTGGGAAAGAGAGAACCTTTCTGCTGACAGAAAGGCAGGAGTGAGTGGGGGGCAGGGGGCTGGCATCCTGCCCCTACGGTCTGCACATCAGCGGCTGCCCATGCCCGGGAATCTGTCAGCAGTTTTCCTGGCAGCTGTTTTCCACTCAGACGTGGAGACCCCCGGGCTGCCGTGAAGGCCTTCATTTGTCATCCCTGCCTCTTGTCAGTTCCAGGGAGCCCTCTTTGCCATCAAGGCTGCAAAACCACTTCTCTCTTTCTCCTTCCTGCCCTTCACTCAAGAATGTTCAGAAAGGAAGGAATTCAATTGTGCCCAGGGGGTCATTTTTTATTTTAAGGATGAACTGGGTTAGATGTGGGGGATGTGTTTCCTCTGCTCACTCAATTAACTTCTCTATTGTCTCTTAGTCCTGGGAGTTCTCCCGTTAGGACAAAAGAATTGGGGACTGATGGACTGGATGTTGGGGGTGAGGGAGAGCGAGGAATCTAGGTGGGGGTTTCCCATGCGGGTCATCAGAAAGCCCTGGACCGAGGTAAGGAATGCCAAGAGTGGGTGATGGCTTCCTTGTAGAGTTATCAGCTCTTTGGGACATAGTGGGTCTAAGGAGCTTTAGAGTGGAGACACTGAGGTAGCCAGCATGTATCCTTTGGGCACATGGAAGAGACTGGAACCTTGGCCGGGTCACACCGAGGTGACTGTTGTGCTTCTGCTGATGAAAGTGACCAGGGAGGAACTTCTTTGGTGGCCCAGTGGCTGAGGCTCCATGCTGGTCAGGGAAATAGATCCCACATGTCATAACTAAAGAGTTCATATGCAGCAACTAAAGAGTTCATATGCAGCAACTAAAGATCCTGCATACCGCAACTAAGACCCGGTGCAGCCAAATAAACCAATATTAAGAAAAAGAAGAAGAAAAAGACAGTGACCAGGGAAAGCAATTGTGGGGGAAGGGCAGAGGCCGGGGCAGGAATCCTGGAGAACTCTCTCTGGGAGGGGAAGAAGGAACCAGTAAAGGAGACCAAATAACACAGTGAGAGGTGGCTGGAAAACCTGAAGAGGGAATCTTCAAAGCTAAGAGAAGAAAGTGTTCCAAGGATGGGGAAAATAGTGTCAGATGCTGTTGGGGTCAGATCGGAGAAAAGGGAAGAGGAGGCTGTCTATTCCGGTGTCTTAATCTGCCAGACACTGACCGCGGCCCTGGAAGGACTCTGGATGCAAAGGAAGGCCATGCGTCACATATCTGTCAAATATTTAAATGCATCAACCTTATAAAAGAGGCTTGGGGCCACCAAGCGAGTTCCACTTTTACCGAGTGTTGTGTGGGCGTGGTGCAACTCCGGGGTTAAAAACCAGGACCCGGCTTTGACCTTGGACTTCATTTAATGGCGGTGTGGCCTCTCTGAGTCTTACTTTTCTGTTTAGCAACACAGCCCACCCTGCGGGAGTGTTGTAAGGGTCGACAGCGCTTGATCCAGAGCTGGAGGAAGGTGGCTACTGAAGTAGGGGATTTGGCGAAGGAGACCCTGGGGACTCACCTGGTAAGGCTGAAGGACCAGGTTGTAGAGCTCGATGTAGGCGGGCAGCGGGAGAGGGAATCCTTTTTGTAGCTTCCCTGCATTGGCGGTTAAGGCAGAGGTTACGGTGAAGGCACCGCCTCTGATGGGAGGGGCCGGGGAGAGAGAGGGCGGGGCCGGGACTCGGGCAGCCAGTCCGCAGCCTCCCTGGAAGAAACCCAGGCAGGAAGAGTCTGCCCAGAGTCTCCTCTTCTCTCTCATCCACTGACCTCCGGACACTGCGGACACAGGAATTCCCGCCCCCTCAGCCCCAAGACCACCCGCCGGAGGATGCCAGCACTGCTGGTGCACCGCTGGCCCGAGTGACAGCCGGGGCAGCTGCTTGCTGGGGTGTGGAGGCTTGGAGACACGTGACGGATATGCACTTGAAGGCCCGCAATGTTTCCGATGAAACCAGAAATGCGTGGTAGCCAGGAGCTAGCTCCCCCATCCCACCACTCTGGCATGGAACTCTGGAGAATTCTAAGCTCCAGCCCAGTCCCCCAGGTCATTATGAAGCTGCACTTGTGAAGGCAGGAAGAGAAGCCAGAGTCTATATGTAACAATTCATTGTCTTCATTTATAATTTCTAAGTGGCCTAAATCAGGGGTCCCCAACCTCCGGTGATCTGAGGTGGAGATGATGTAATAATAATAGAAATAAAGTGCATAATAAAGGTAATGCGCTTGAATCATCCTGAAACCATCCCCTCCCACCCTGTCCATGGAAAAATTGTCTTCCATGAAACCAGTCCCTGGTGCCAAAAAGGGTGGGTGGGGACTGCCGGCCTGAATGTTCTCATCGCGGGGGGTGGGGGTGGGGGGTTGGCTCTGTTTGCACCCTTGCACCCAGCTCTGCAAAGATCAGGGGTTTCACCAGTGAGTGAGCTGAGTGGAAGCGTTGTTAGCCCAGGCTAGCCCCTCTTCCTTAGCCCTTCTCTCTTGGAAAAAGACAAGGTTCTGGCTTCAGAGCTGGGATCGAATTCCAGCTTCGTCTCTTACCTTCTCTGTGACCTGAGACCCACTCATTTCTCTGATCTCCCATTTCCTCCCATGAAAACTGGAGGTATTATTCTCCGTCTCAATGGACTGCCTCATAGTTCATGAAGGAGGAACTTAACCCTTTTCCCCTCCCTTTTCTGGGCCAGGTATCACTTGAGGTTCATTTGAGGGGACCACCTCCAGCCTCCACAGTGGGGGCCAGATAACCCATGGCTCTAAGATCCACCCCCCTCACCAGGACTGGAAATCAATCCTTTCTCCAAAACTCCTTACTGTTAATCGCTGGAAGAACAATGGTGGGCATGACGTAGTTCATGACAGACTGCAGCAACTCAACCTGGGGATCAGGAGGACAGGACCCACGTCAGGGCACTGGGGCATCAGCTGTCCTCTGTCATCGCCCTCCCACCCAGAACAACCTCAGGAAGAACCGCCGAGAGACAGACACAGGGATGACCTGGAAACACTGCAGCTCAAGGTCACCAAAGTGATGTCTTTTGCTTTAAAGGTTCCAGATGCAAATTGCATTCTAGACTTGTAGGGGGCAAGGTGGAGGCAAGGAAGGTCATCACAGAGCACTGAAATGTGAAAACCTTTGTGTAAGAAAATGCATTCTATCAGATATCGCAGGCTAGGGGGCAAATTAATTCAACATTTCGCAGGGCTATTCGGCAATGTTCATCAGAACCCTCAACAATGTGTGTGCCAAGGGGGTCACAAACATGCCTTCGAGACATTTATCCTAAAGAAATGAGGAGTGCAATAAGTACAACCAAAACAATAAAAGCAACCTACAGGTCCAACAATTGGGGAATCATCTGCTGGGGGCGGGGGTGGGGGGGAGCGGGGTGGGGAGCACCGCACCTGGTTGCATTTGGATAATAAGAGATACTGTGTAACTATTTAGGGCTTCCCTGGTGGCTTAGATGGTAAAGAATCTGCCTGCTATGCAGAAGGCCCAGGTTCCATCTCTGGGTCAGGAAGATCCCTTAGAAAAGGGAATGGCTACCCCACTCTAGTACTCTTGCCTAGAGAACTCCATGGACAGAGGAGCCTGGTCCATGGGGTTGCAAAGAGTCAGATATGACTGAGCAGCTAAAACTTTCACTTTTCACGTGTAATTATTAAAAATGATATGGCAGAAATATAGCATCACTGACTCAATGGACATGAATTTGGGCAAACAGAGAGACACTGGAGGACAGAGGAGCCTACAGACCACGGGATAGAAAAGCCCTGGACACGACTTAGTGACTGAACCCACAACAGCAACAGAAATATATTGGATTGGCCAAAAAATTCATTTGGGTTTTTCCATAACATCTTACATAAAAGCCTGAACAAACTTTTTGGCCCACCTGAGAATTATCAACATAGATTTTTTTGTGATCTATTTTTGAGTTAAAAAAAGGGCAGGCTAATGTATAACTAATTCACTTTGCTCTAGAGCAGAAACTAACACAACACTGTAAATCAACTGCACTCCAATAAAAATTTTAAACAAAGAAAAATCAGGCTACAGAAACCACATAATTCCATCCGGTTATTAAATATGCATCGAAAAAAGTCAGGAAGGATATATACCAAATTTTTAAGTAAGTGGTGAAAAGAGGAATGATTTTTATGTTTTGTTTTGCAAATCTGTAGGTCCTGACTGTTCTATAATGTACATGTTTTGCTTTTGCAATAATTGAAAAAAATTCAAAAATAACATAACACCCTCAAGATGATGGCCTGTAGTGGTGACTTTTACAACCTGTCAATATGTACATTTTTGTTTCTGGAGCAATTAATTCAGTTTCCTTCCCCTGGCTGTAATTCCTGGGGCTCATCAAATGTGGTGCCCTTATTCCCATGAATCTGGGAACTTTAAATTTTTATTTTCTGCAGAAGCAGAAGTTAGTTATTGACTGAGGCCAGCTGCTGCCAGGAGAGCCCTGGCATCAGTAAATCCATGAAAATACAATGAGGTTGCTTTGGGTCTTTCTGTTTGTTGTAATCTTATCAGATGGGAACGGCTGGCTGGATTTCCATCGGATTTGGAGGGGATATTGGGACTGACTTCAGGGTTGGGTGATGGGGGTGCATTTCAGAGATCTAAGGAAATGTTCTCCAGAGGTTTAGCAAGAGGCTCTCTGGCAGATTCGGGCCATGAGCAGTAAGACATTGTGGGCAGAATTAGCATCTTTTAATGGAGAAGGAAACAACCCACTCCAGTATTGTTGACTGGAAAATCCCATAGACAGAGCAGCCTGGGGGGGTCGCTTAGAGTCAGACATGACTTAGTGGGCAGGACTTAGCAACTAAGTAACAACAACAGTGGAAGTCACAAGGGCAAGGCTCATTCAGGTCAACTGTTGAAGAGCATCTGACCTGCTGTTTACAGGGGCAGCTCCCCACCGGGGCCAGAGGGTATGGTAGGAGGAGAGGGAGCAGTGAACCTCCTATTTTTAAAAAAGATTTTTGGGGGATGTGGACCATTTTTAAAGCCTTTATTGGATTCATTACAATAGTGCTTCTGCTTTATGTTTTGTTCTGTTTTTTTTTTTTTGGCCATGAGGCACGTGAGATCTTAGCTCCCCGACCAGGAACTGAACCCGCATCCCCTGTATTGGAAGGTGAAGTCGTAACCACTGGACCACCAGGGAAAGTCCCAGTGGTGAGTCTATTTGATGACAGGGATTCCAGGCAGTGGAATCATCTCTGTGGGCTGGTGAGATACCAGTCGTCTCCCTCCCATCTGCCCTACTCTGTAAGTGACTCTACCATTCATTCACTCAGCTGCTCAAGTCAAAAATCTGGGAGTCATTCTTCATTGCCTTTCCTCCCACCACGCACAGAAAATCTCTCCCCAAGTTCTAATTCTGCTTCCAAAGTATGTCTCCCATTCACCATCTTTCTCTTCCTTCCTGGCCTCATCCCAGCCTCCATCATCTCTCGTGGACAAATGCACCAGCCTCCCCAAGGCAAGGATCCATATGCTCTGACTCATTCCCCCATAGTCCATTCCCATCATCTCTGCAGGGGCATCTTTTATAAAGCGGAAATAGGATCATGTCTCTCCCTGCATGAAACAGTTCACTGGCTTCTCACTGCCCTCTGAACACAAGCTACTCTAGCCTAGAAGGCTCAGGGTGGGCCCGCCCCACCCCTGCCTGCCTGCCTGCCTGCCTGCCTGCCTGCCTCTCTCTGCCCCCTACTTCTCATCTTGTTTCTCCAGCCACACTGCTTGCCCCCATTGCCGGAACAAGCCAAGCTGTTTCACCACAGGGCCTTTGCTCCTGCTGATCCCTCTGCCTGCAACATCTCCACCTGTGGACTCCTTCAGCCCAAATATCACTTCCCCAGAGAGGCTTTTCCTGATCATAGGATCTAACCCTTAACCTCCCCCGTCACTTTCTACCCCACCTCCACTTAATTTTTCAAAGCATTGATCTTGACTGAAATGATCTTCCTCATTTCTCATTGTCTGTTTCTCCCCTACAATGGAAGCTCTAGAAGGAGTTGTTTTCTTGTCTAATTCATCAGCACATCCCCATCCATGGAACAGGGCCTGCCACATAGTAGGTACTCAGGAAGGTAATTCACTTGTTCATTCAACACACATCTGTTGAGTGGATTCTCTATACCTGATTGTGTACAGTTAACCCCATTTAAAACTCACTGCACTAACTCAGGCAGAAATTATTATCCTTGATTTGTAGGGAAAGTATTTATAGGAAGTTCAGTGAATGGAAGTGGCTTGCTCAGGGCCCATAGTTAGTAGGTTTGGAGCTGCAATTCCAGCTCAAGTCTCTGTGCCTACAATTGTGTGTGTGTGTGTGTGTGCACGCGCACTCAGTCATGTCCAACTCTTTATGACCCTATGGACTGTAACCCACTGGCTCCTCTGTCCATGGAATTTCCCAGGCAAGAATACTGGAGTGGGTTGCCAGTTCCTCCTCCAGGGGATTTCCCCAACCCAGAGGTCAGCACCCTATCTCCTGTGTCTCCTTAGTACAGAAAAAGCATAGTATATGTAGAGTTCCCTTCTATCTGTGGTTTCAAGCAACCCCAAGGTCTTGGAATATATCTGCTGTGAATAAGGGGGACTACTATATTCAGTTAAGCTGTTCAAGAGGAAATAAAGATTTCATCACACAATTCATTGTGACAAAAACCTAGACTATCCCACTTTGCTCAAAGGTAGTATGACAGTATATATCTTTTATGACGCTACGTCTCCAAATTTGCTTGTTTCTACTTGGCCATAGAGACATGGAAGTCAGTTGTACACAAAACCCACAGTACTCCTCCCCTCATTATTTCACATGCAAATTATATGCAGACTAATCAGTGGTCTGTTGAAATGATGCTATGAGCCCAGGTGGCCCTCAGGACAGTTATCTCAAGATCAGAGGAAGGGAGGAGCCACCAAGGGCCTCTGACTCACCGAGAAGGGGCCGATGTCTGAGTGCTTCAGTTCCAGGAGCAGCCTGTGAGAAGGGGAGGGGAAAGTTGAGACCACAATTTGCCTGACCCATGTTAGAATTCAGTTACTGGGGAGAAGTGCTTCCCAGGGGGCGCTAGTGGTAAAGAACCCTCCTGCCAGTGCAGGAGACCTAAGAGATGGGTTTGATCCCTGGGTTGGGAAGATCCCCTGGAGGAGGACATAGCACCCACTTCAGTATTCTTGCCTGGAGAATCTCCTTACAGAGGACCCTGGTTTGCACAGAGTCAGACACAACTGAAGCAACTTAGCACAGCATTAAGGAGAAGGGACACTCTGTGGTGGATGTCGTCTGCTTTTCCCATCCTGTATCCATTCCTCCTTCCCCTGGTGACAGCCCCCTGATTTTTTCTTTGGGACAGTCATCTGTTCCCTACACTGTTAATGCGGGGTTCTGGGGTGGGCTGGCCAAAGGGCGGAGTCTACCTCCGCTGCCACAGTGATTGCTTCGAGAATTGACCACTAACCCATGCCGGCCCAAGGACTTCTGCTGGAAATATTGGGAGTGAGGTATTCTCTTTTCTCCAGCAAAATTATCTGGTGACCATTTTTGCCACCACTCGGTGACAGCCTGCTGGGAAACGAAGCCAGTATGGGGGAGAATGGAGCCAAGAAGAGAGTCAGAGACCTAAGGATATCATTTGAGCACCTGGATCTACCTGTGTCTGAAACCCTCAGACTTTTGAATAATTTGAGCCCATAAACAATCCCCTATTTATGGACTTTATGACATCTTAACAATGATCCAGGAGAAAGGTAAATAAATGGCTATTTAATGAATCCCTTTTTTTCACTATGTTGGATGCTATATCCCACTGAATTCCTGTAACATCCAAGAGGCAGGGGCCATCACACTCCCATTTTACAGATGATGTCCTTGACAATCAGAGAAGACAAGCAATCTGCCCAAGGGCACACAGTTAACAATCAGCCAAGTAGCATTTCAACCAGGTCTCCCTGATGCCAAAGCTTCTGTTGTCTCCAGTACCCTACAAAGCTTGAAAGCTCTTGCCCTGTGGGGTCTCCCCACCCCCCATTCCTGCATATTCCAGGAAGTCTGTGCTCAGCCATCTCCCAGCTGTATTTTCTCCAGCTCCTCTACCTGAGAGGCCCACAGGTGTTTCCAGGAAAACGAAATCCACGTTTCCAAAGCAGTAACACTTGTCAAAACGATGCCAGGAGAAATAAGCAGCATGCAAACCTCAGGAGCCAAACTCAAGGTTAGGAAGGACAGCTCTGTGCCAGAGAGAAGGCAGAAACAGGCAGGAATGTGGGTCAAGACTCAGTTTAAGCAGAGTGAAAGTGAAGAAGAGGTAGACGCCAGGTCAGAACGCGGGGGTCGTCACGTCTGCTCTGCCCGTCTCCCTCAAGCTTGATCTCTGTGTGTCTCCCTCTCTCCCTCCTGCCTCCTTTGGCGTCTGTCTGTCTCTCTGACGGTCCCCCTGTTACTGTGTCTCTTCATCCATCTGTCTGTCTTGCCCTACTTTCTTTCTCAGTGTCTCCCCCTCCCTCACTGTGTCTCTGTGTTTCCCCGTCTCTTCCTGTCCCTCACCCCATTTCTATATTGCTCTTCTTCTGTGTGCTGCTGTCTTTCTCTTTTCCTCTTGCTTGTTGAGCACTTATTATATCCTTCAAAGTGTTCTAACCATCACAACATATATTAATACAATGATGCGGCTGGCAAAGAACAATTATTGGACTTATTTTACCAGCCAGGGCAAAAGGCTGAAGTCTGAAGAGTTCTATGCTTGCCAAAGGTGAACTGCACTTGAAAGGCAGCCGCCTCAGCCTCTGAGCCCACGTTCCTAACCCCCACCTCCTCTGCTGGGATTCAATCCCAGAGTCTCCTGGCAGGAGGTGGCTGATGAAGGCCCAAGGATGGGGTGTGAAGAAGTTGAAGTGGATTTCCAAGTGTCAAGGAAGACCAGGGACGTGGGGTGGCTGGAGGCTGGAGATTTATCAACTGGCCCTGCGCAGTCATGATTGGACTAGGATAGGGGTGTGACCTGGGATGCAGGAGTTTCAGTGCTAAAGCTGGGTCACTGCAGACAAGCCGAGATGGTTGATCACCCTATGATGTGTGGTGTTGGGCGGGTCACTTCATCTCTGAGCACCAGTCTCACTATCTGCAAAATGGGGATATTGTACCTACCGTGCCCTGTTTGAGGTTTAAATGGGATGAATGAACACAGAAGTTTGGAACTTTGTAAGGTCATTGTGAACTCACAGGCACCAAGACTGGATGGGCAGGACGTCCCCAGTAGTTCAGTGGATAAGAATCTGCCTGCCGATGCAGGGGACATGAACTTGATCCCTGGTCCAGGGAGATTCCACATGCCCTGGGACAACTACTGAGCCTACAATCGAGCCGCAACTACTGACTCACATGCCCTAGAGTCTGTGCTCCCCAACAAGAGAATCCCGAACACCGCAACTAGAGAGTATCCCCCGCTTGCCACAGTTAGAGGAAGCACACTCGCAGCAACAAAGCTGAAAGAAGATGGACGGGCAGCCCCCTCCTCCCATGCCCGCCGGCCCACTTACTTGTCCAATCTGAGCTCTCCAATCAGTCTGTCGGACTTGGCACCAAGAAGCACAGAAAGGTTCAAGTTCTGCAAAGCAACCATCCAGGAAGTGACGCCACTGACCCAGAATCCCGGGGCTCCGCAAAGCCTCCAAGACCAGAAGGTCTGCTTCACAGAGACTCGGCAGAAGCGCCCACATTGCTAGGGCAGGCCCACAGAACCCACGGAAGGGACAAGTCTTCCTTTCACCAACTTTGTGATTGTGATGAGTCCTGGACTGTCAGACAATTACCATTTTTCTCTCCCTGCTTCTGGGACCAGTTCAGATTCCCAGGCCACTCCCATGGGCTGCAGGAGACAGGCTGTGAGGTAGGAGTCCAGGCCAGCTCTATTTCACATTCATTCATTTAGTCATTCAACAAATGTTTACTCAGAAAACCAAGGTTCGCAACCTCAGCTTTCCTGTCCACTGTCTGTGTGACCTTGGGCAACCCCCTCAGAACCCACTGAATCTGCAAAGTGAGGAAAATGGGTCTCAACTTGAGGCTGGACAGACCTGAGTACCTGTTGTTGGGGAGAGTCTAGCCCTCACCTCCAGTGGCCAGAGAGGATGCCACGAAATGTTTGTGGAGTGACAGAGTGATCAAATGATGAATGTACAAGTCAACCATGGAATGAAAACTTAAATAAGTGAAGGATTAAATGCACAAAGGAAGGAATAAATAAAGATAGGCATGGATGAATAAGTGATTAATGAATGAATGAACAAATATACAAAGGAATGATCCATTGAACAAAGATATAATAAATGAATAATGAAATAAATGCATGTATGAACCAGCAAAGATACAGTCGATTTCAAGTTAGCAGTTGAAATTAATAATTGAATGACTAAATAAATGAATGAACAAACCCACAAGTGTATAATTGAATGGCCAAAGATATGCATGAACAGATTGGAAATAGTATACCTATTTCAAGTCAACCACAGAATAAATAATGGAATGAATGAAGAAGTCAGAAGACAGTGGCTCTGGACACACACAGTGTAGGTTTGAGTCTGGGTAGGCTTTACACCAGTCCCCCTGGCTCTCAGGGCAGTGCTCTGAGCCCTGTCCAGGGCTGCCTGTCTGCTCAGATCTGGGATCGGCTTACCATTTCAAGCTGGAAGAGGGGATCCAAGGAGGAGTTTGGGAGGATGGCAAAGGCCTGGGTGTCCAGGACAAAGATGAGGTCAAGGCCGCTGGCGTTCACGGTGAGTTTCGGAGGCAAAGAGGCCCAGATGAAGAGCTGCATCTGCATGTCAGGGAACATCTTGGCCACCTGCAACCCACAGGGGACGACCGACAAAAGAGGCCATTGATTAGAGAGTGTCTAAATCCTATCTTGTCCTGGTCCTGCAGAAGCACTTCTGATGTCTTCCCACTGTTGTTTTTTGGCGGTGCTGGATCTTCATTGCTGCACAAACTATTTTTCTCCGGTTGTGGTGAGTGGGGGCTACTCCCTAGTTGTGATGCACAGGCTTCTCCTTACAGTGGCTTCTCTTGTTGCAGAGCACAGGCTCAAGGGCACTTGGGCTTCAGGACTGTGGTTCTACAGCCAGGCTCAATAGTTGTGGCGTACAGACTTAGCTGCTCCGTGGCATGTAGGATCTTCCCAGGTCAGGGATTATTGAACCTGTGTCTCTTGCATTGGCAGGCAGATTCTTTGCCACTGAGCCACCAGGGAAGCCTTCCCATTGCTTTCGGAATAAATTGTAAAGACTATAATTCAGCACCTGGCACCCTGCCAACCTCACCCCATGCCCACCCCCTCCACCGTTTCTACCACTTGCCCTCTAACTCCATCCACAAGGTGGAGTTCTTTTCCTCAAATGTGACTCGCTGTCTTTGTATACATCAACTCAATTAATCAATCACAGCTTTACGAGGTGAAGTTGTTATTACTGCATTTTATGTATGAGAATACTGAGATACAGGCAGAACATGCTCAGGAACATAAAACTAGTAAGTAAGGGCCAGAGTTCAAACCCAGATAGATCCCAGGAAGAGATTTATAATTCAAAATATCTTTTTGGATGGAATAAAAGTATCCTGAAATTAACTTAAAAAAATTGTGATCTGGTCTCTTCCTGTCTAAAACTCTTTGCACTCTCTGTTCCCTCTCCCTGAATGTTTGTCCTGGATTCCTCCCTAGCTTGGCTCTTTCTCTTCCTTCAAGTCTGGAGAGTAGTGATGGGTTCAAAAGGAACAAAAAAGAGCTTTGACAACACCCCCATCTCTGCTAGCCTCCAGTCCTCCCCCAGGTAAACTCACAGTCTGAATAAAAGAATGCAATTGTTATGCAAATGAAGCTTTCCCTTTCCCTGACCCCCCAGATGTTGTACCTCCTCCACACCAGTACTGTCTATATAGAAATTTCTGGAAGTGCCACCATCAAAGAGGCTATTATAGACTGAATGTTTGTGTCCCCCCTGCTCAGCAAATTCATATACCTAAGCCCTAACCCCCAATGTGGGCTTTCCAGGTGGCTCTGTGGTAAAGAATCTGTCTGCCAAAGCAGGAGCTGCAGGAGACACAGGTTTGATCCCTAGATTGGGAAGATCCCCTGGAGGGGGAAATGGCAACCCACTCCAGTATCCTTGCCTGGAGAATCCCATGGACAGAAGGAACCTGGTGGGCTACAGTTCATGGGGTTGTAAACAGTTGGACATAACTGAATGACTGAGCACAACCCTCAGTGTGGCTGTCTTTGCACATGTGGCCTAAAGGAAGTAATTAGGGTTAAATGAGGTCATCAGTGTGGGGCCTGATCCAATAGGATTAGTGTCCTAATAAGAAGAGACACTAGAGCTTGCCTGCTGTCTCTCCACAAGCTCAGGCCTTTCCGGCCTTTCCGGCCACCTGAGAACCCAGCAAGAAGGTAGTCATCTACAAGCCAGGAAGACAGCCCTCACCAAAAACCAAATCTGCTGGCACCTTGGCCTTGGACTTCTTGACTTCCATAACTGTGAGAAATAAATTTCTGTTGTTTAAGCCAGGCAATCTGTGATATTTCTTTATGGCAGCCCAAGCAGACGGAGACAGAGGCCCGACTTGGCTGCCTTTGTCTGTAGCGACCTCATCAACTTCAGCCAGTTTGTGATAAACTTCAGCTTCTCTGCTGGCTCAGATAGCAAAAAAACCTGCCTGCGATGCAGGATACCAGGGCTCGATCCCTGAGTCGAGAAGAACCCCTGGAGGAGGAAACGGCAGCCCACCCCAGTAGTCTTGCCTGGGAAATCTCATGGACAGAGGAGCCTGGCGGGCTACAGTCCATGGAGTCACAAAGAGTATGACACGATTGAATGACTAACACTGTCACTTTTTCACTTATCAGAGTCTGAGTTTTCTCTTTTTATTGTTTTGGGTGTCTGAACAATAATTTTCTCTCTCTCTACTGGACGGGAGCTCCAGGAGGGCTGGGATACGGTCTGTTTTGCTGGATGCCCTGTACAGGGCCCCAGAAGTGTGGTGGGCACTCAGTAACTATTTGATGAATGGATAAGCCCTCAGGATGTACTCTCACACCTGGTAACATGAGTGCTTGGGGCCTTTCTCTTTACTGGGGATGGGCTGCACAAAGCTCTGTCCACACTCTCAGACTGGGTCACCTCTCCATCTGGACGGGGAGCGGCTCTCAGCAGAGCTGTTCTCAGCTCCCCCAAGCCTCCTCATGAGATGGCTAAAGGGGAACAAGTCCTTTCTCACCTGGGGTATCAGGGTTCCAAAGAATTTGGTTGTCAGGCGGAACTTGGATTCCTTTGGAATCTGTAGCAAGGGAGGAAGAGAAAAGGATCTTGGAAGATTATGTTATAGATTGGAGGGCAAATTCTATATGAGGTGTGAGAGAATGAATACATAAACAGACTGTGGCCAGATCATGTATGACTGAAGAATGCTGACCCAGAATGATCAGTGACTGCCAGCTTCCTTAACTTCTGTGCTGGAAAAATCAGATATGCTTTCCAAACCGATCACATAAGATGTCTGGCTTCTGTTAGCCCTGCCTCCAGCTTGCCCACACCCACAATCTCTGTAAAAGCCTACCCAGCGCCCTCCCTTTTTTCACTATAAAGCTTTCCCACCCTGGCTCTGCCTTTGAGTCTACCGAACACAAGAGTTCTCATTGGGATGGTCTCTGTTTATCTCCACAGGGAGACAAGTCACGGCTCAGCATCCCTTTGATGCCTCTCCAGAGGGGGAGGATCTGGCATCAGAGCAGAGGAGGAACCCTGCATGGCTGGTGAGCAGGGTGGGTCCCGTTGCCCCTAGACTCTGGGGAGGATGGTCATTTCCTCATTCTACAGATGGGCAAACTGAGGCCCAGAGCAGGACTCAGCCACGGATATAGAGACAAAGACATTGAGGATGACGACCATAATGGTGATACGATGCTAAGACTGGATTACAGACCGAGACACTGCAGGGACTCAGTCAATGTTAGCTGTCACCATTAGGATTCAGGGGATTTCCTCCACACTCATAAGTCTGTGCTGGGGCTGCCCAAGTAATCATATCTCATTCAACCTTCCTTACATCCTTTGGATGAAGATATTATTTTTTGGTGTTTTACAGATGAGGTTCTTAGAGGCTGAATAACCGACCTAAGGTCACCAGGATGGGAAAGAGGGGAGCTGAGGTTTGAACTCAGGTCTGGCTGACTCCAGAGTTCAGACCTTGATATTCCTGGCTGTGAACCAAGACTCAGATCCAGACCGTCTACCGCACTCTCTTCCCACATTCACTCCCATTTGGCCTTACCATGTCGTCTCTGAGGGTCAGATTCAGGGCTCCAGCCTCCTGATACACGAACCCGGCCGTGTTGAAAAAATACTCAGAGATGCCCAGGTACACCATGCGGTCGTGGTCGGCGGGAAAGGCCATCGGTGGGGGGGCAAAGGGCGGGGGGCTGCGATGGGCCAGACTGAAAAACTCCCCCTGCAGGCAGAGGCAGCAGAGTGAGCCTGGGCATCCTTCAAGAATTACAATTCGATGTCTCCATTCCAGGAAAAAACTGGCATCACTGACTCGATGGGCATGAGTTTGAGCAAACTCCGGGAGTTTGTGATGGACAGGGAGGCCTGGCGTGCTGCAATTCATGGGGTCGCAAAGAGTCGGACACAACTGAGTGACTGAACTGTCTGACTGAACTGAAGGATACTAATCCCGGATTCACAGAGGAGAAAGCCATGGCCTGAAACTAACAATAGCATTGCATGCCTCCTTGTGCTAATTTCTAAGTGTTTTCCCACCAAGGCTGTGTGGTAGATGAGATCACCTGCATTTTACAAGAGAGGATGCTGAAGTTTCCCAGGTGGCTCAGTGGTAAAGAATCTGCCTGCCAATGCAGGAGATGCAGGTTTGATTCCTGGGTTGGAAGATTCCCCTGGAGAAGGAAATGGCAACCCACTCCAGTATTCTTGCCCGGAAAATTCCACGGAGGAGTCTGTCTGGTGAGCTACAGTCCACGGGGTCACAAAGAATCGGACACGACTGAGTGACTGATCACACAGACACACACTGAGGCTTGGGGAGATGAAGTGGCTTGCCCAAGCTCACTCAAAATGGTGAGTGCCAGAGTCAGTGATTGAACCCGGACATCTGGATTCTGGCAAGCACATTCCTAACCATGCCATGGTCTCTGCCTCAACTTTGCAAATAAGTGCAGAAATTCTCCTAAAAGGACAAGGAGAATTCTGTTTGTTTGTTTTCACTTATCAAATTAGAAAAATATTCAAGAGAGAGGTAAATTGTTTTAAATATGTGTATTTTAAACTGATACTATCCAGTTTTTGGTAAGAGTATTCATGGGCTCCTGGGGAATATGTTTACATTTCTGAAGAGCAATTTGGCTACACATTGCAAAAAACAGATCATTCACTTAGTTGAAAAACAATAATGTTGAGTTATAAAATAGCAAATTTTTGATGGATACATATGTTAGAATACCATTTATGTAAAACTGTGCTTTAGTCACTAAGTCGTGTATGGCTCTTTGCGACCCCATGTACTATAATCCACCAGGCTTCTCTGTCCATGGGATTCTCCAGGCAAGAATACTGGAGTGGGTTGCCATTTACTTCTCCAGGGGATCTTCCCGATCCAGGGATTAAACCCGGGTCTCCTGCATTGCACGCAGATTCTTTACCGTCTGAGCTATGAAGGAAGCCACTTATGTAAAATTAAAGGCATAAGAATTATTGACATCAGAGATAGATAGAAAAAGTATAAAAACTCAGGCGAGAAGGACACATAAGGATGTCATCCACGTGATTCCCTGTGGGGTAGAGGGTCCCCAAGGGGGCCTCAGCTCTTTACTTCTACAATATTTCATCTCAAAAAATATCAAAGGTGAATATGACAAAATAGTAACACTGCTAAAATCTGGGTCATGGGTATGTGATAATGTGTAGTATTCTCTGTACTTTTGGATCATTATTTGCCGATAATGATCATGACACCAATCTTATAGAATAAATATCATGAGCAACTCTTAAAAATAGCTGCAAAAAAAGACAAAAAATAAAGATAATGGGTGGACCTATGTACCAACCAGGAACCATCTCTAATATATATCGCTAGGTGAGAAAAGCAAGTGAAGAACAATGCAGACAGATTCTCAGTAAAACTAGATGGGCTTTCATGTAAGTGTATATGAATGCTCAGGATCAGATTAATACCCGCCATGGCTGACAGCTATCACCTCTGGGCAGGAGCCCCGAGTGTGTGTGGGGGGGTGGGGGGCGGCAGTAAACAGGACATTCTCATTCGCTAGGGATAATCAGGTATTGTTTTAATCCATTGTTCCATCTTATCACTTAGATTATTTTACAAGTATACTATTTGGTCCAGCAATTTCACTTCCAGAAAATAATCAAAGATGGGCAGAGACCCAGCTACAAGGATACTCATGGCAGCTCTGGTTACACTTGTGGAAAAAATGGGAAGAGCTCAGACATCCCAAGAGGGGGCACTGTCTGCATACCTTATCACAAGCTGTCCGCTGAAAGACCCAAGAGGCATTTAAAGGACTACGGGAGGACATTTCACTGATAGATGTACACCTTGCACTGTTTTGGTTTTAAAAGGTGTAAAACATGACTTGTACACATATATATGTTTATATATGTTGTTTTTGTGTGTATTTGTTTCCATGCCTACATGTGTGTATTTTTGTTTCTGCCCCTTTTACACGTGTGCCTGTGTGTGTGCAATTTTCTGTGTTTGAGCAGAGGAAAGGATTGGAGGGTTGGAGAAGTGTAATTTATGTATCAGCATACAGATCTCTAAGTCATATTATTACGGTAATTTCTCTTTTCTTCCCCCCACCTTCTTTCCCTCCTATTTATTTCTTCTGCTTCTATGTGGTCTCTACATTTTTTTTTTTTTGGACATTAAATGTGTTTTAGAGAAAACAAGCAAATAGTAAACAGACACACCAGTTGTGGAGGGACTGAGGTACATCCGGAGGGGATTTAGAAAGTGGGACTTATTCCAGCTGAGATAGGGGAAGGCTGCTTGGGGAGTGACATCCCAGCCAAGACCCGCTGGAAGATAAGAAGAAGATGGCTGGGAAGAGGAGGGGAAGGAGGAGAGGGGAGTCCAGGCAGAGGGAATGGACGGGATGAAGGCCCTAAGGTGGAAATTAGCTGGAAGTGTTGAGGAGGTGCAAGGCCAGTGAGCCTGGCTGGAGGGTAGACAGTGAGGGGAAAAGTGGCATGAAATGAAACTAGCTCACTCCATCCATCCATCCAACCATCCATCCATCTATCCATCCCATACACATTTACAGAACAGGTATTACACACCAAGCATAGTTCTAGGTGCTGTGTACGGTGAAGAACCAAGCAATCACAGCCCCTTCTCTTCCATCATATTGAGGGAGACAGGCTTGTGACTGCGGTGTGCGTACATGAGTAATAAGTGCTGCTGAGAAAAATAAAGCAAAATATAGGGGAAGAGGAGGGTACTCTTTTAGCAATGGTGGTCTGGGAGGGCTTCTCTAGGGAGAGGATACTTGAGCAAAGACTTGAAGGAGGGAAGAGAGAGCTGCTGTCGAAATCTGGGTGAGAGCCTCCTGGCTAGAAGAAGCAACAAGTGCAAAGGTCCTGGGGAGGGAGCAGTCATCGTGCATTTCAGGAATAGCAGGAAGGTCAGTGTGACTGGAGCCAGGAGAAGGCATGGAAGGTGGGCTGGGGAGAGTGGTGAGGATGGATAGGAAAGGGGTGGGGTCATTGTAAGATTTGTTTCCAAGGATGATGGGAAGCCCCCAGGTGTGGGGGTTCTGAGGCAGAGGTATGAGGGTGTATGATTCTTGATATGAGTCTCACCTTCAGCAGCCCATCCAGGTTATCGGTTGTGGCTCTTGGAGGGGCTACCAGCGAGTAATCGACCCCAGCCACTTTGTCTAGTTTGGTTGTCACTAGAGGGAAAGAAGATGGACCATGAGCTGGCTCCCCGTGGCAGCATCTTTGGAGCCTGGGATGCAGAGTCAGCATCTCCTAAAGTTAAATACAGACCTGCCGTGCTGATCCCATTCCCACTGCCTCCAAGCAGCCCTCCTCCCTGAGCTCCCTTTAAAGGAAAATGAGCCCACAGCCCACATTCACAGAAACATCAACTCCCTCCCTTCTTCCAACAGCCCTGAGACATGGCTAAAGCAGAGTCAAAGGGCAGGATGACTTGGGCTTAAACTGAACTCTGTGTGACCTTGGACAAGTCCTTTCGTTTCCTCTGAGCCACTTGTCTTCATTTGTAGGGTGGGGTACTACTGACAATTTTGCAGATGCCCTCTACATGGTTAGGGGCTAAAGCCAGCAGGGGTCATTACTGCAGCGATAACATCCCAGGCTGAGCCCAAACTGGCTTCAAGTCGGAATGGTTTCTCTGTTTCCAGCATTAATCAATGAGGATGAAATGAATATTGGTTTCTCCTTTAGCCCTTCTTTCCCATGTTAGAGGGAATAAACTGAGAAAACGTAACGAGTCCTGGATGGCAAAGCTTGTGAGTGACAAGGCTGGGACTCAAACCAAGATCTTTTTCCTGCCTGGTGAGGCTAAACCCTGGACCCTGCAGCTGCACTGAACACGCCCAGGATGGGTTGGGGCAGTGCCCGGAAGAAGGAAGTGCATCTGAAGCGGACAAGTACCACGTGTTGGCCACACTAGGCTCTGTGGGGAGGCAGCCCTGGTAGAAGTTTGGGGCACAGGCTCTGGAGTAGGAAAACCTGAACTTGGATCATATTTCTGCTTCTTACTGGCCCAGTGAATTTGGCAAGTCATGGCTCCTGTTTCCTGGTGTAAATTTGGCAGAAAACAGTGATCTCAGTGAGGCATTGGGAGGCCGAGAGGAAACATTACTGCTGGGTACATGATACAAGGTGACACTTGGCCAGATGGGTCTTCCTGCACCTTCTGCAACCCTTCACAGTCTACTGAGCACTTGGGGAAAGAGAAGATTGTGTCCATTTTAAAGACATGGAAACTCAGTCCTTGAGAGGGGAAGTGACCAGCCTCAGATCTCAGATCAGCTATGTATCTCTGGCTTCAGGGGGCTGTGGGTATTTGTTGTTTGGCCCTTGTAGGGTTTCTCTTCCATTTAACTTCCAGACCTGCTACAAGGACCTGGTCCCAAGGGATCTGATGCTAATTACCATTTGAAAATAACCGGCTCTACTCATTCCCACCCAAGCCCAGGCCTGCCTAGGAAACTTGCTGGCTCCATCACGCTCTCCCTATCTCCCTTCTACCTCAACTTTCCCTCCCTCTTCTACCCCAGGTTCCCCCTCCCCTTTTACCCCAGCCTTCTTAGCTCCGCCCAGCTCTTACCTGGCAGTGTCTCAAAATAAGGCTGCAGCTTGGAGGACACAGTACTAGTCACCACCTCGCAGATCTTGGGAGAATAAAAGAAAAGATCAGGGAAGGCTTCCTGTAGTGGACAATGTCCTTTGGGAATAATTATGTGGACAGGTTTTGCTTGTCTTGAATGTTTCCTCAAAAATCATGTAGCTACTCAAGCTTCCCTTTTCTCTTTGGCCACCAGGAAGATCAGAGTCCAACATATAGCTTGGAAATAGTAGCTGTATATGACTGTATGGGGGCTTCCCAGGTGGTGCAAGTAACAAAGAACATGCCTACCAATGCAGGAGATGCAAGCGACATGGGTTCTATTCCTGGGTCAGGAAGGTCTCCTGGAGAAGGAAATAGCAACCTGCTCCAGTATTCTTGCCTGGAAAATCCCATGGACAGAGGAGCCTGGTGGGCTAAAGTCCATGGGGTCGCAAAGAGTCGGACATGACTGAGCAACTGAGCACACATATGATTGTATGAGATGCATATCTACATTTTATTTCCTGCTCAGACTCTAAAACCCATTTTATAATCTACTCTGCTATGCATTTTGACCACGATGCATGGATATTTTTTCTTTTAATATTTGACAGAGTGCCTTCAGATGGGTGGTTTATATCTCCTTACCCATATTGTCAGTGCCTTTGGCTGGAAGACCAAGGTCTCCCATCTGGAAGACAGCACAAGACTCCTTAGTTTTCCCAAGACTCCTGCCCCTGCTCTTGGCCCCTCCAGCCATTCTCAGGGCAGCCAGAGAAATTGTTCCAAAGCACAGATCTGGCCAGGTCATCCCCTTGCCTAAAACCTTCAATGGCTCCCCACTGACCTCTGGAGAAAACCCAAGCTCACTTGGCTTGGAAGACAGGCTCTGGTGTTCCCTGGAAGCTGATGGTGTATTAATGGGAAGCTAGCCCAAGGAACCACCCCTTTTCTCAGCTGAAGAAGTTGTCTTGTAGGAGATGAGGGTTAGAGTGAAGGCAGGGTCGGGGGGACACACTGGTCTGTGTCTGTCCTTCATACCAGTTCCAGCCTCAGGACATAGCTTGGCTACACTCTAGTCTAGCAGCTTCATCAGCTGCACGTTTTTTGGGTGGGGCTCACCACCAAGGTGGAGAAGGCAATGGCAACCCACTCCAGTACTCCTGCCTGGAAAATCCCATGGACCGAGGAGCCTGGTAGGCTGCAGTCCATGGGGTCGCGAAGACGGACACGACTGAGCGACTTCACTTTCACTGTTCACTTTAATGCACTGGAGAAGGAAATGGCAGCCCACTCCAGTGTTCTTGCCTGGAGAGTCCCAGGGACGGGGGAGCCTGGTGGGCTGCCGTCTATGGGGTCGCACAGAGTCGGACACGACTGAAGTGACTTAGCAGCAGCAGCAGCACCACCACCAAGGGGGTTCTGGGGTGGGGGGTGGGGAAGGAGGCCGGAGGGCTAAGAGAGCTCGCCAGGAGAGAACAGTAGTTTGTCTGCAGGGAGGGACGACGTGGGGGAGGGCAGAGGTGGCTCAAGCGTGGGGGCGTTTGCTGAGGGTGCGTGACATGAACCTTAGTCTCTTGCTAGATTCCCAGGAAAATTGACCTGACACGTTGTAGAGCTGGACTTGTGCTCCCTAAGGGCTGGAGGGGCCTGCTGAAGAGGTCTGGGTGAGAGCGGAAGTGTCCAGCGATGCCTGAGGTCTGTGGACACCGCGGGCCCCACCCACTCTGACGGGGGCGGGCTGAGACTCGGAGCCCCTCCTACCTTGCTGGTCATGGCGTTTTGGAGCGAAGACTCGATTCTTTTGTGGAAGAGTTGGATCAGCCACCTGGATTGACATGTGGGGACAGGCGTGAGGCTTTCCAGGTACTTCCCAGGCTGTGCTCAGAAAGCTGCCTCGTCTGGGAAGCCTTCATCGCTCTTCCGAACAGGCCTTACCGCCCTTATCCCTGGGCTCCGAATCTGTACACCCCCATCAGACCCTTCTTCTCCTGTATTCAGTGACTGGTCATGAGGTTATTTCTTCCACAGGTGCACAGCGGGAACCCTGCCCCATCTCAGCCTCATTCCTCGTCACTCCCTCTCTCTCTGTCCTCAGCCCCACAGCTCTGCCATGTCCTCCTGTGTCCTCTGCTTCCTCCCACCACAGGACCTTTGCACATGCTGTTCACTCTGTTTAAAACACCCACTGTCCCCAATCAAATTAACTCCTACTTCTTTTCATCTCAATTCAAATGTCATTTCATCAAAGAACTGGGCAACCACCAGACTAGGTCAGAACCACCTGTTCTATGTGTTCACCACACTTTGTACCTCTTTTTCCTACTTCTAATATCCTTTTGTAATTCTTTGTGAGCCATTCATTAATGCAATGATTTGATTAATGTCTATCTTCCCCACAGGCTGAAGTTTCAAGAGAACAGGGGCGGTGAAGTTAAGAATCTGGGGGTTGGGAGTCCTGGATTGAATCCCTTCTCAATTCTCATTAGGTATGAAAACTCAGGCTACTTCCTATTCTTTCTGTGCCTCGATCTTTTCCTCTGAAAGTGGGGTAATAATAGACTAACCTCGTAGAGTCTTTGTGTGGACAGAATGGGATAAGGCTCATGTCTGAACAGTGCTCAGCATCTATCAAGCCTCCAGTCACTGTCAGCAAGGCCAGATTTTTAGTGACCACTGCTCTTTCTTGAACACAATGAACAAGCCTCATGCACAGAAGTTTCTTAGTTGATATTTGTTGGTTGGATGGAGGAATGAATGCTTATGATAAGGATTGTATAACTTGGTGCACTTAAAGTGTTTAGTGCAGAGCCTGCCGCATAATAAGTGCTCAGTAAAAGTTTGCTGAATGAATACTGAATGAGCAAGGGACCCTTCAAGGCAGGGAGGGTGTGTTCCATCTGTGAACCTTTGTCCCCTCCTGACATCTGAGACCTTTGAACAAGGCTGGCATGGAAGTGGCATTTGGGATGTGCTGTCTGAATACAAGAATGATTACGATAATCCTGTCCCTCCTCCCAGGACTTCCCAGGTGCCTCAGTGGTAAAGAATCCACCTGCAATGCAGGAGATGTGGGTTCAGTCCCTGAGTCGGGAAGATCCCCTGGAGGAGGAAATGGCAACCCACTCCAGTATTCTTGCCTGGAGAATCCCATGAACAGAGGAGCCTGGTGGGCTACAGTCCAGGGGGTTGCAAAGAGTCGGACATGACTGAGTGATTGCGCACGCATGCACATTCATCCCTCCTCCCATCCACAGCCCCAGGAGGTCATACCCCAGCCTGCTGCCAGAGATGCGTATGCGGACGGTGTTGATGTGACTGCTGCAGCTGGAGCAGGTGACTGTGGAGTGGCCCGAGTCAGGGTCATAGCCCAGCTTCAGACCCGCCAAAATAGAGATGCCTTCCACACTCAGGTCAAACTTGCCGCTGAGTTTGCTGAAGGGAAACACAAAAATGAGACTTGGAGCAAGCATTTTCTCCCCTCTGCCGTCAAACTTCACACCAATGCTGGAAGGTAGGTTTTGCTGGTATCCCCACTCAGGATGAAGAGATGGAGTTCAGAGAGGGAAGGCCGCTTGCCCAATGTCACACAGCAGCTGAGTAAAAGAACCAGAATTCCAACTCGAAGACTGAAGCCATGTCTGCCTGGCAGAACCCTCCTCTGATCCACTGCCTCAGCCTCTGCCTGTGCTGAGTTTCTCAACCTCTCTGAGCTTCAGGTTCCTTACTCAGACCTTGGACCAGCAGTGGGACACTAGTTTTGCCACTAGAAAGCTGAGTTTTGGGGAGGGACGTGTCTTTAATTAATTGATGACTTCATTCATTAAATGGGGTTAATAACTACTCCCTCCTGAAATGAGTTTGGGATAAGACAGTGGATGTGAATGCAATTTTTCAACTCTTCTATAATGTGAGGAAGTATTGCTATTTATTTGTTTATGATCCGTAAGTGAAATGATAGATGTGAAAGAGCTCACATGAAAAATTAAGCAATTCCCTCTGCTGTATAACACAGGGAACCCTGCTCAATGTTATGTGGTAGCCTGGAATGGGAGGGGAGTTTGGGGGCGAATGGATACATGTATATGTATGACTGAGTCCCTTTGCTGTCCACCTGAAACTATAACAGCATTGTTAATATAAAATAAAAAGCTAAAAAAAAAGAAAAAGAAAAAGAAAAATTAAGCAGTGCTTATTGTGGGGAACAACACATCAGAAGTCCTTATAACGAAGGGCAGACCTACGCCTCTGTCCTCATCAAAGTGTCTGTTTTCTCCCTGGATTCCGCACAAAGGAGAAGTTTCTAAAATGACAGGTCGTCTGAGTCACTGTCACTTCTGCACAGTGACCACAGTGAGAGCCCAGTATTTAAATTCACAGTTGTAGTTTGGATGATTTGCCCCAATTTTCAGCCTCCCTGCATCCATACCCTCTTCCATTGCCCATCTTGGGAGGATACGCGTGTATTTCCATGTTCTTGACTTTGGATGTGGCCACGTGACTTTTTTTGGCCAGTGGTATATGAGTAGAAGTGACTATGGGCCAGTTCAGAATCTAGGACTTAATATGCCTCTGGTACCCTTTTTGCACCTCTGTAGGCCTAAGAATATGCTCTCTGTAGCCCATTCATTGGTCCAGGGAGGAGGAGGAGATATATGTTGAACAGGGCCACCCCTAGCTGAGGCCAACCTATGGGAGGAAACTCCAGCCAAAAAAATAGATACATAAGTGGAGATATATGACTTACTTTGGGTCACTGAGTTTGGGATGGTTTGTTACACAGCAGTTGCTAACTAATAAAGGGGTAAAGTAAAGGTCCTACTTAGCCTTCTATCATAAGCCATATGTACCAACTCAGCCTTATCGGTGTTCTGTATTGAGATGTGGGAACATGTTCAGCTACTAACCAAGAGTTATGTTAAAACTTCTTTTGTGAAAAATTTTCCCAGTAGCTCTGAGGGGGCAGATGGTATTCGGCCAGGCAAAAATTGGGCATGCTTGAGATCTTGGCTCTCCTCTCTTCCAAGTATCACCAAGAGCTTACCCACACACTCAACAAACAACAAGCTTGGAAACGTACATGAAGTTCTTTCGTGCCTTCCACTTTCCTCTGATGTTGATACTGGCATCTCTGATAGTGAGATCAAGGCCCTCACCTGGCGACGGTCTTATCTGGGAATTGGGAAGACTGAATCCTTGAATAACCATGCTGCAAGGAAGAAACGATCAGTTAGCCTCCTCGGGATTCCCACAAGGACTCAGTCAATGGTCAGTGCAGACTCATTCCCCTCCAGCCCGGTCCTTTACCGCATCCATTTTAGGAGAGCCCGAAAGTTATGATGAGAGCAGCCTTGGGAACTCTGCAGCGAGGCTTTGAAGTCAGACAAATCTGCATTTGAATCCTGCTCTTTGATTTACTTTTGTGTGATCCTGGGCGCATTGCTTAATCATCCTGAGTCTCAGTTTCCTCACTTGTAAAACGGGCACAATAACCTCTCTCTTGCAGGGTGTGTGATGATCAGCGAAGATAACAAATGTAATTCCATTGACTACACGTTCTGTAAGGGGTGGAATGTGTCTGTCTTTTTTTCACTATTGTACAATAGCAAAGCCTGCTGAATCAGACACATAGTAGGTGCTCAAATATCTGCTGCTAAGTGAGTGCATAAAATTCTTTAGAGGATATTTATGGGTTTTCTCCCCAGCACCCACATCCCTCTCTTGTTGATAACAGAACTGCCATTTTTACTTTGGAGGAACTCTTCCCCACATCTAGCCCATGTTGCTCTAGAGAAAGTTGACTTCACAGGCCATCTTCAGAGGGTGGAGCTTGAGACTTCAGTACAAGCTCATTCATGTTTTCTAGTCCCTGGCCACAGTGATTGGTCCAGGAGTATGTATATAACCTAAAACGGATTGATCAGAGTGAATCTTGGGAGTTTTGTTTGAGTGGTAGGAAGACCGTGCCTTCCTCCTACAGGGCTGGGAGTGCTGAGAAGATGCTGATGGTCTCTTTGCAGGGACATCCTACCTGAGAATTAGCCCTTCCAGAGAGAAGCGATACTGAGAGATGGCAAAAGAGAAACAGGGTCCAGTGATATTTGAGCTTTCCTCAAGCTGAACCAGAAGCCAGACGATTCCAGGGACATCTCAGTCCTCTGAGCCCCTACATTCTGGTTAAGGTCATTTCTGATTAGGGTTTCTGTCATAGAAACCTCACCTCCGCCCCAATCCCAGTTGACATATGGGCTTGGCACAGAGTTTGGGGATTCATGACATCCCCTCCGGAGTCATGGTGAGTGCCTGAAAGACCGTTTGGATGGTCTCCTCCACACGCAGCTTGGGGACTGTATCCCGTCTGCTGTGGCTGCTGCTGCTAAGTCGCTTCAGTCGTGTCCGACTCTGTGCGACCACGAAGACAGTAGCCCACCAGGCTCCCCTGTCCCTGGGATTCTCCAGGCAAGAACACTGGAGTGGGTTGCCATTTCCTTCTCCAATGCATGAAAGTGAACAGTGAAAGTGAAGTCCCTCGGTCGTGTCTGACTCTGAGAGCCCATGGACAGCGGCCTACAAGGCTCCTCCGTCCACGGGATTTTCCAGGCAAGAGTACTGGAGTGGGTTGCCATTGCCTTCTCTGTTGTATCCCCTTGGAATGATGTAAACACTAGCTTTGGGATCCTCTAAGCTCTCTGAGTTTAGGAGTTTGTGACTCTATGAGTCTAGGTCTTGCTGGCCCCAACACACGACAGTCCTGAACACGGAGGACTGAGCTGGCAGGGCTTACCTGGAGAAGAAGTATTGCCCTTTCCCGAGGTATTTTATCTTAAAGCTTCCTGAAAAAGTGGGAATTGTGATCTTCTCCAACTCCTTCTGCAGAGTAACCACTCCCTGCTGGCAGGCTGAGGAGAGAGAAGAGGCTGAGGTCAGAGGCATGTAGCTGGTTCATAGCAGAGACGGTGGGCTTGGAAAGGTCTACAGCAGGGCTCAGTTAAGGGCTGTCCTCAACACCCCAATAGTAAATATTTTCTGCTTTGTAGATCTTACTGTCTCCGTCACAACCACTCAGCTCGGATATTATTGTACAAAAGCAGCTGTAGACAGTAAGTCAATGAATAGGTATGGCTTGTTACAGTAAAACTTTACTGAGAGAAATTGAAATTTGAATTTCACATCAGTGTCACTAGTGGTAAAGAACCCGCCTGCCAATGCAAGAGACATGAGAGACATGGATTCAATCCCTGGGTCAGGAAGATCCCCTGGAGGAGGGCATGGCTACCCACCCCAGTATTCTTGCCTGGAGAATCCCATGGACAAGGAGCCTGGCCAGCTAAAGTCCATGGGGTCGCAAAGAGTCGGACACTGAAGACTGAAGTGACTTAGCATACATAGCACGCACATCATTTTCACACGGCCTGAGATTGGATTCTCCTTTTTATTTTTTCCAGCCATATAAAAATGTAAAAGCCATGCTTAGTCCCTGGGCCATACAAAAACATGGTGATCCAGATTTGGCCTACAGGCTCTTGTTTGCCAGCACTTAGTTTGAAATATCACCCACTCCGAACACCCAGTCATGCATCCTATGGGTGTTTATTGAACATCTGCTCTGTACTCTGCCCTCACAGATACTGTGTCTCTCTGGGTTTTGGACTCTCTTGCCACAGGATCTTTGCATGCACTTTTCCCACTGCCTAGGAAACCTTTTCCTCTCATCTTCACCTGGTCATCATTTCTTCTAGGAACTTTCTCTGGTTCATCAGAAGAGTGCGATCCTGCTTGTCATAATTCTCACCATGGTGTGGGCATCTCTTTTGGAGTTCGCATTACCTTTTGTAATTATGCAACTATTCATGTGATTTTTCGATTAATTTCTCTCTCCCCTACTAGATGTAAGCCGCCCAAGGCCAGGGACAGATGTCACAGACGTCCGCCACATTTACCACAGGGTCTAGAACTTAATACCTGATGGATGACTAAATGAATGAATGTCCCCAGGGTCAGGATTTCTGCCATCCGTTATTATGTGGTTAATAGCATCAGAGAACCAGTTAGATGGCAAACACGTTAAATGAGAAGAGTAAGCAGTAAAATGATGGATGCCAGGATTTGCGTTTTTCTAAGAGCCAGTTAAGCATAGTAATAATAACAATAGTAATAATAATAGTAACAACAGCAACAATGTTTATCAGGTTCTTACTCTGCTCCTGGCACAATTCTGGGCCCCATACATGTATTACGTTACATACCTGTAACTGAACATACACGAATCTGAACAATCCTGGGTAGTAGGTCTGGTTGAAAACAATTGAATTGGAACCCGGTTCTCCCACATTGCAGGAAGTCTTTCCCAACTGAGCCACCAGGGAAGAAGCCCAGTGGGTCTTGTTACACCCCCCAATTCAGACGAGGAAACAGACTCAGAAAGGTGACCACACAGCTGACAGGCGAGGGAGGCAGCCTCTGAATTCAGGCCTCCTGTTCCCAGAGCCCATGCCCTGGGATAGGCCTTCTGGGGGTCCAAAAGTAAACCAAGCATAGACTGGCACTGCCCCGAGAGAAATGAAAATGTGGGATGGCCACCATCTGTGGATCTGCAGGGGCCGGGTCTCCAAGGGTCTCTAATGCCAGGCCCAGGACACCTTCCGAATTCAGGCACTTGGGAGCCGCTGAACAGTGTCAGTAATGAGGGTCCTGAACCGACATGCTGCACTTCAGGACACTCACTGATGGCTGCATGGGGTGTGAGTAGGAGGGACCGAGGCTGCTCTGACAGAAGCGAAGACTTCTGGGCTTCAAGGCTGAGCCCAAGTCTCTGCTCCCGGGAAGCGACCAGGTCTGGGTACAGAGCAGGGGCATATCCTTTCTCCAAGCTCGTGGGGAGCCTCCTGTCTCCATCCCTGGGATTCACAGGTGTCCTGCCTGGGCTGGGGTAGGAATTCAGGGATGGAATACCAGGTCTCCTTGGTCCTATCCGGGGCTTCCCTGATAGCTCAATTGGTAAAGAATCCACCTGCAATCCAGGAGGCCCTGATTCGATTCCTGGGTCAGGAGGATTCTCTGGAGAAGGGATAGGCTACCCACTCCAGTATTCTTGGGCTTCCCTTGTGGCTCAGCTGGTAAAGATTCCACCTGTAATGCAGGAGTCCTGGGTTCGATCCCTGGGTTGGGAAGATCCCCTGGAGAAGGGAAAGGCTTCCCACTCCAGCATTCTGGCCTAGAGAATTCCATGGACTGTATAGTCCATGGGGCTGTAAAGAGTTGAACATGACTGAGCAACTATCATTTCACTTCACTTCAGTCCTGTCCTGATTTCCCCCGGGGGTCCACCGCCCCTGAGAGCCTGCCTTCTCCTGGGTCTGGTGTCTCTGGCACCAGCTCTCACCCACTGTTCTGCGGGTCATCTCTCTGCCACCGAGAGGCAGCATTGAGCAGCCCCACGCCGACATGTCTACACAGACGAGAGCTCAGATCCAGGCCCCCCCACCCCGCCTCCTTCCAGTCTGTCTGCTCATCTGTAAAGGTCACTGGTAACATTGTGTGCTTTTAGCATCTGCCTGGCACTGATCTGAGCAGGTCAGGAGGCTGCTTTGTAACATTCTCTGCTGTGTTTGGGCCTGAGGGAGTGGCCTGGGGGCATCCTCTCTGTGGCACCCGGCTAGCTACTGTGCAGGGTGTGGCTGCCAAGCACCACCGCTCCTCACGGAGCCTGAGCTCTGCCCACGCTGAAGACTGAGCCAGGGCCCTCCAGACCAGTATAGGGCCGAGAACCAGCTAGGAAGGAAGTGAAGGGCCCAAGCCCGAATCGGCGGGCATTGGGTGGAGGGAGGGGGACCATGAGGGGCCTGAGCACTGGACTCAGAGTCCTCCAGACTAGGGGTCCATCCCCCGCTGCTGCGGCTTCCCAACTCTGTGACCTTAGGTAACTCACCCTGGCCCAGCTTTTTGCTCTGTAAGACGGGGTGAGAGTGCCGCCTTGAAGGAGCAGTGAGCAGGCCATACCCTGGGTTTAGAGGGCTGCACACAGCAGGTGCTCCGTCAGTGATGGGAGAGAAGGAAAGGAAGGCATCCAGTTACCGTAGTCCAGGCCCTTCTGGGTGACCCTGGCCACGATGCCGGGGTTGGTAGTCGTTGTCACAGCCGTGCCCAGGGTGGCCAGCACCACCAGGGTCGCCCACCTCCGCGCGCTGTCAGGGTCCCTGGCCATGTCCTCGTCCTGCAGAGCTGCCAAAACCTCGAGGTCTTGGAGGGGAACCAGGGACCTATAAAGGAGGCAGCTGTGGAAGTGCACGCCAGGAGAACAGAGAAAGGAGGAAGGAACATGAGCAGGGCCGGAAGAGGGGGGTGGACGGCTGCCTGCCTGCGGTGCCCCACCGCATGGTTGGGGCCACAGCCCCAGAACAGCCAGAAGTGGAGCCTGGGAGCCCTGTGTGTGTGTGTGTGTGTGTGTGTGTGTGTGTGTGGTGTGGTATGTTGTATGTATGTGCGATGTGTGTATGCATGTGTGGTGTGTGTATGCATGTTTGGGGTGTGTGTACGTACTGTGGTGTGTGTATGTATATGTATGCATGTGTGACGTGTGTATGGTGTGATGAATGTGTATGTATGTGTGGTGTGTGGTTGTGTTTGTTGTGTGTGTATGTATGTGATGTGGTGTATTGTGTGTGTGATGTGCGTATGCATGTGTGGTGTGTTTATGGTGTGTGTGTATGTATGTGTGGTGTATGTATGTGTATGTGTGGTGCGTGATTGTGTGTGATGTGGTGTGTGTATGTATGTGTGGTGTGTTTGTGTGTGGTGTGTGTGTATGTATGTGTGGTGTGTGTATGTGTATGTGTGGTGCGTGATTGTGTGTGATGTGGTGTGTGTATGTATGTGTGGTGTATGTATGTGTATGTGTGGTGCGTGATTGTGTGTGATGTGGTGTGTGTATGTATGTGTGGTGTGTGTGTGTGGTGTGTGTATGTATGTGTGGTGTATGTATGTGTATGTGTGGTGCGTGATTGTGTGTGATGTGGTGTGTGTATGCATGTGTGGTGTGTTTGTGTGTGGTGTGTGTGTATGTATGTGTGGTGTATGTATGTGTATGTGTGGTGCGTGATTGTGTGTGATGTGGTGTGTGTATGTATGTGTGGTGTGTTTGTGTGTGGTGTGTGTGTATGTATGTGTGGTGTGTGTATGTGTATGTGTGGTGCGTGATTGTGTGTGATGTGGTGTGTGTATGTATGTGTGGTGTGTGTATGTGTATGTGTGGTGCGTGATTGTGTGTGATGTGGTGTGTGTATGTATGTGTGGTGTGTGTGTGTGGTGTGTGTATGTATGTGTGGTGTATGTATGTGTATGTGTGGTGCGTGATTGTGTGTGATGTGGTGTGTGTATGCATGTGTGGTGTGTTTGTGTGTGGTGTGTGTGTATGTATGTGTGGTGTATGTATGTGTATGTGTGGTGCGTGATTGTTTGTGATGTGGTGTGTGTATGTATGTGTGGTGTGTGTGTGTGTGTGTGGTGTATGTATGTGTATGTGTGGTGCGTGATTGTGTGTGATGTGGTGTGTGTATGTATGTGTGGTGTGTGTGTGTGTGTGTGTGGTGTGTGTGTATGTGTATGTGTGGTGCGTGATTGTGTGTGATGTGGTGTGTGTATGCATGTGTGGTGTGTGTGTGTGTGGTGTGTGTGTATGTATGTGTGGTGTATGTATGTGTATGTGTGGTGCGTGATTGTGTGTGATGTGGTGTGTGTATGTATGTGTGGTGTGTGTGTGTGGTGTGTGTGTATGTATGTGTGGTGTATGTATGTGTATGTGTGGTGCGTGATTGTGTGTGATGTGGTGTGTGTATGCATGTTTGGGGTGTGTGTGGTATGGTGTGTGTGTACGTATTGTGGTGTGTGTATGTATATGTATGCATGTGTGACGTGTGTATGGTGTGATGAATGTGTATGTATGTGTGGTGTGTGGTTGTGTTTGTTGTGTGTATGTATGTGATGTGGTGTATTGTGTGTGTGATGTGCGTATGCATGTGTGGTGTGTTTGTGGTGTGTGTGTGGTGTGTTTGTGTGTGGTGTGTGTGTGTATGTATGTGTGGTGTGTGTATGTGTATGTGTGGTGTGTGATTGTGTGTGATGTGGTGTGTGTATGTATGTGTGGTGTGTGTGTGTGGTGTGTGTGTATGTATGTGTGGTGTGTGTATGTGTATGTGTGGTGTGTGATTGTGTGTGATGTGGTGTGTGTATGTATGTGTGGTGTGTGTATGTATGTGATGTGTGTGTATGTGTGGTGTGTGTATGTATGTGATGTGTGTGTGTATGTGTGGTGTATGTATGTGTATGTGTGGTGCGTGATTGTGTGTGATGTGGTGTGTGTGTGTGTGGTGTGTGTGTATGTATGTGTGGTGTATGTATGTGTATGTGTGGTGCGTGTGTGGTGTGTGTGTGGTGTGTGTGTATGTATGTGTGGTGTATGTATGTGTATGTGTGGTGCGTGATTGTGTGTGATGTGGTATGTGTATGTATGTGTGGTGTGTGTGTGTGGTGTGTGTGTATGTATGTGTGGTGTGTGTGTGTGGTGTGTGTGTATGTATGTGTGGTGTGTGTGTGGTGTGTGTGTATGTATGTGTGGTGTATGTATGTGTATGTGTGGTGCGTGATTGTGTGTGATGTGGTGTGTGTATGCATGTGTGGTGTGTGTGTGGTGTGTGTGTATGTATGTGTGGTGTATGTATGTGTATGTGTGGTGCGTGATTGTGTGTGATGTGGTGTGTGTGTGTGTGATGTGGTGTGTGTATGTATGTGTGGTGTGTGTGTGTGGTGTGTGTGTATGTATGTGTGGTGTGTGTGTGTGTGGTGTGTGTATGTATGTGTGGTGTATGTATGTGTATGTGTGGTGCGTGATTGTGTGTGATGTGGTGTGTGTATGCATGTGTGGTGTGTGTGTGGTGTGTGTGTATGTATGTGTGGTGTGTATGTGTGGTGTGTGTGTATGTATGTGTGGTGTGTGTATGTGTATGTGTGGTGCGTGATTGTGTGTGATGTGGTGTGTGTATGCATGTGGTGTGTGTGTGTGTGGTGTGTGTGTATGTATGTGTGGTGTGTGTATGTGTATGTGTGGTGCGTGATTGTGTGTGATGTGGTGTGTGTATGCATGTGTGGTGTGTGTGTGTGGTGTGTATAAGTTGAGACTTCTGGCTCTGAGTGTCATTCCCCTCCCCTTCCCCGCTCCCTGAACCCTCCACCCAAATCCCTCCGTCCAAGGACTTCTTGGAAGCTGCGTGATAGGTATATCAGAGTTGATTATATTTTTTGTCTTCTTTTTTTATGCTCTACTGAGGTATAATTGGCAAAATTGTACACAATTGCTCCTTGAACAACACAGGTTTGAACTGTGCAGGTGCATTTGTATATGGATTTCCTTCAATAAATACACACTGCCGTTCTACACTACCTGTGGTTGGTTGAACCCATAGATGTGGAACCTCGGATATGATGGAACTGCGTATATGGAGGTCTGACTCTTAAGTTTATACTCAAATTTTCAACTGCTTGGGATGTGGGAGTCAGCACCCCTAGCCCTTGCATTGTTTAAGGGTCAAATGTACATTTAAAGTGTAAAATGAAAAAAAAATAAAGTGTACAATGTGATAATTCGATATATATATACATTGTGAAGTGATTGCCACAACCAAACTAATTAAGTCATCTCTCTCTTTACATGGTTATCATTTGGGGTGTGTAGTGAGAATGAAGATTTACTCTCTTAGCAAATTCCAAAGTGTATAGTATTCTTAACTGTAGTTATCATGCTGTGCATTAGATCCCCAGAACTTACTCATTTTATAACTGAGAATTATATTTTTCTTTCTACTTTTGATTTCCTTGGTGTTTTCCACAGTAAAACCTTTAAGGAAACAGAGCCTGAAGCATTTTATTGTCCTGAGAGGTAATAATGATAATAATTAAATGCTTGAATTTTGAGTCTGGTATTTTAACTGATTTTAAAGCTTAGCTTTGCCACTCTGTGGTGGCTTGACCTTGGTCAAGCCCGTTAAACTCGCTGAACCTCAATTTCCTCTTTGTAAAGTGAGGATAACCAGAGTACACCCCGCACCTCAGGTTATTGTGAAGACATAAAGGGCTTTAAATCATGTAAAGCACTTAACACAATACCCCATGCATAAAATGCTCACAAATGGTAGCTATTACTGTCTCTCTGACTTTCAAAGCAATCCTTGTTCATGGGCCAAAATTTGAGAAAGAACCAAAAAAAATATAAATAAAAATGATGTGCAATCACCAGTTCCAGAAAGGACAAGCAGAAGTGTATTTTAGAGTATTTCTCTCCTCGCTCCCCACTTTTGGTAAGCACAGATCAAGTGTGTCTTTCCACACTTATGTAATCAACGCCAGTTTTGTGAAGTTCCCTTTTATCATAAACAGTATGTGCGGCTCTCTGTATTTCATTGCTTCCTACCCTACAGTTTTCTTCACCAGGCTTTTGTTCTTATACGTTTTCCCCTTTCCTTTGACAGATGTGAAACCTGAGGCTTCGAGAGGGAAGTGTTCTTTCCACAGTCACGCAGCCAGGCTGCTAGCAGAGCTAGGATTCAAACGCAGACGCATCCCACACCAACCTGAGTCCTTTAGCGTCTTGGGAGCTGGGGCGGGGTGGGGGGTGGCATCAGCACACACACTCCCCACCCTCCCTCCAACTTTCCAGAAGGAATTCTGTCTACTAGGCCCCTGCCCCTCCCTTTGCAGCAGCCTCGGGCCCAGTGTGGGCGGGAACCCCACCGGGCAGCCTGCGCAGTCTCCATGGTGATGAGAGGAGGGGTGGGGCTGCAGAGAGGGAGGCCAGCTTCTCTCCTGCTGGGTCCTCATCAGCCCCCTGATGCCCTGTCTCCCCGACTCTGATTTGATGAAGAGCTAATGAAGCCCATTGAGCCTGGAGGACATGAGACCTGATTTTTTTTTTCTTTCTTCTCTTTCCACTGTTTCCGAAAGGATCTCCCTTCCTGCCGCCACCCACCACAACAAGAATCCTTCTGGCTTGCTGTAGAATGAAAACAGTGGCTCTGGACAGAACATTTACTATGACACTTTACATATATTGTCTTCAAGCCTTTAAATAACCAGTGAAAAGTGAAGAAATTGTTAGTCGCTCAGTTGTGTCCCGTGGATAGTAGCCTGCCAGGCTCTTCTGTCCATGGGATTTCT